CAGGAATTTTATCTTCCCTGCCTTTTCTTCAGTTTTAGAGGTGGAAAACTGGGAGTATGTTTGCATTTCGTTCTTACCCGGGGTCATTTTTAACACAGAGTGTCCATACTGGCAGCAGAATCAGAAAACATGCATGGGGCTTTATTTGGTGTGTAGATTTTTAGATTTGGGGTCATATAATTTAATACATGAAAACTGTAGGATTTGAGATGAAAATGAAGGGATACTTGAAAAATCTCAACTGTGAAGCAGTTCAGTTTTCAAGGGATTTACAACATCCTTGGAATGCAATTCTTCTTTACAGTTATGTTATATTGTTAATTTTCAAACCATTTGGTACTAAGACTGGTAGTTTAAAAACAAAAAGAGAAGAAAAAAGAATGTGCATCCTGGTTGTAACAATGCATGTGAACAGATGCCGGCACATTTTCCATTCTGCATATTTTTAATTATATTTCAGTGTAACTGTTTAACACTAGCTGCTTTGATGGTTCAGGTTGGACAGTGCTAGGTTTGTGATTTGATGTCTTGGCAACTTCAGCAAAGACACAAAACGTGTCGTGGACATGTTACTACTAACTATCTTATTACCATTTTGGTAGGGTTTTAATAAACATTTCAAAATTTTCAAATATCCCTTTCTATACCAGCCAGTAATTACAGTTTTTCAGGTCATCCAACCAAGTTGCAGTTTGAGTCCTGCTTGCTGTCGTCCTCAAAATACTAGTGTGAGGCTGAATTTAATTTAAGATTAACTTTTTTTCCCCCCTTATTTCTGTTTTTTTTTTTCCCTATGGCTCAGGTCTGAATAATCTTTTCTTTTGCTTTGCTGATCATTCTTTTTATCCTTTCAGTAGAGTCCCTTATACAGTTTACCCTTTATATCAACGTATTTCATGTGTAAACTCATATAATATGTATGTCCGTATTAACAAACTCTATTCAGGAGAGTTTGTGGCTTCTGACATTGCTGGTGGGCGGTGTACATGAGCCCTTTTCCCACTGGCAGGTAGGGAGGGTAGATGCTCCCTGTCAGAGCTAAAATGAGCCCTCCTCCCATACGTCTGCCACTTGGGAGCTGCTCTCGCCATGACTCCTTTGCCAAGGAATAGTTTGTGGGTTACTTTAAAGAGATTGGCCAGATAGCAAGAACATTTTGGCTTTCCATACCTTTAGTTTAGGAGCTTCTGTTCCAGTGTGTCACAGTGAAGGCATTGAGATCTTTGGGAAAAGAGGGTACTATCCATGAACTCCCTTGCACTTGGAGAGTCATCAGTTGTGGCACAGCTGCCAGTGTTAAGTTTTATTTGTTTTTTAAAAGTGGAGTGTTTTGGAGGAGTTTGAGCTCTTCAGAGGTATTTGCTGATTTCCTACTTGGATCAACCCTAGCTAATCACTCTCCCTATTGCCTCTCCTGACACATCTTTTTTCCTCGATTTACCAGCTCCTCAATCAACTGAGGTTTTAGGGTTTAGGAAATTACTTCATCTTCCTCCCAGCTACAATGGTTAATGAATTGTTCCTCTTTTAGTGCCTGTTTCCACTGTAGACTGATGCAAACAGAAAGAATAAAACAGGCATTTAAAAAAAAAATCCTATCAGGTTTTTTAAACTGACTCTTAGAAACTGAAAAACTATCTCAAACACAGCTGAAGAAGCTAGCCAGGATCTGGGAATTGCCAAGATGAGCCTGCAGCCACGCAGTACTAATTCTGTCACCGCTGTTGTCTGTGGGCTTGTTTTTTCACAGCACTGAGTGCTGAAGATGCTGTAGCATTTGTTTGGCTAGGCAAGAAAGGGGTGAGAAAAATACAAGAAACTCTAAAAATTAATTCAGTCATCTGGATTTCTGTTTTGTGGAAATCTATTCTTCTGCCTCAACCTCCATTGCCATGAAAAAAAGTATGACCAGACTTCCTGAAGCACGCTGACAAAGCTTGACAGCTGCTCCAAATGAAGGGCAAAACAATTCACAGAGTGTAATAAAAGTTTCTCTTGAGTGTTTCTGAACAAAGCTTGTCTGTTTCTCAATCAGAAGTGCAGTCAGACTGAATTTGCAAATTTAGTTTATTTCAAATCTATTAATGGTTGTTCTGGTGAGAAACATAAAAAGTAGGAGAATAGTGTAAATGGATTTTTTTTTTTTTCATTTAAGATTACTTGGAGCTTTAATCCAAGCAGCCACTAAGTGCAAAAGGAGAACGTAAAAGCCAGCTCGAATGAAGACAAAGAATTCACTTCCATTTCTTCTGTAATTTTTACCAATCACAGATTTTAAAAATATTTCTGAGATTAACTCAGCATTTAAGGTATTTTCAGGAGAGATTCATCTTGTGACTAAATATTAATGTACAAGCTACCAAGTTCATTAATCAAGGATTGTTGGCAGAAACATGCTAAAAAATTTTAGCTGAAAGTTGTAACAATTAAAAATGTTCAATCAAAGAAATGTGTTAAAAAAGCACTCGTGAAGTATTATCTGTACTGCAGACAGGCCTATTTATTCAGCACTTTACTGTGACTCTTAAGTAGTTACAAGCAGTATCTTTCTTCCCAGTCCCTGTATGTGGAGCAACTTTCTTGATCCCTTTCAGAATCAAATTTTTCTGTCATTACAGACATCCCAGAACATCCACTTATACTGCAGGGCTTGACACCTAACTTAGGAAAAGGGAATCGGTAATGGGAAAGTACATGGAAGCAGACATGATTATCCAGGAAGCAAATGTGATTAATGTTAAGCTCGAGTTGTCTTGCTGGCTGCTGCTCCTGCTATAAGCTTTTTCACAGGGCAGCTGTGACATGGTAATTTTTAGTCTCAGTTCAGAGCAAACCTGGTTCTGTCCCCAACAACCCGAAGGATTTTAACACAAGTTACGGATTTCTGAAATATTATTTCCTTCTTCCCTCATGATAACCTACAAAACATACTAAATACTGGGGGAGCAGTGTGGTAGTGATGGATTAAAACAAAAAAGTGCTCTGATTTTGGGACATTTTTGTTTTGTCACACAGCTGCTCCTAGTAAAACAGGAGCTGCAATGTACAGTTTTATCAAGAGATGCCATAAGAAGCCATATAGTTTCATTCATTTGGCGTCACTTTTCTTATTTGTATGGTTACAGATCAAGAAAATGTAGTCAAAGTAATGAAGAACAGATGAGGATAAACTCTTGTGAGACATTGGTCATCTGTGACCACAACTGGATTACAGACATACAGCTTGAACTGCAGCATTGCTGAATAAAAGGGGATGTACATGGAAATGAAATGAGCTGGTGCCTCTTGTTGGTATTGCAGATCTCTTCAAGGAGGTGGCAGGCCCCACCGAAATGTGTGACCAGAGGCAGCTGGGCCTGCTGCTTCATGATGCTATCCAGATCCCACGGCAGCTTGGGGAAGTGGCAGCCTTCGGTGGCAGCAACATTGAACCCAGCGTGCGCAGCTGTTTCCAACAGGTAAGGTAGCAAAGACCTTCACGTGAAAAAAACCTTCCCTCTGAAAGCTTAAGATACACTTTTACATGGGTTAAAAAGAAGAGAGGAATTTTAAAACATCCACTGAGTTTTTGAACAGAAATCTGTATTCTCCTGCAACTAAATGTGGGAAGGTATTGTGAAAATGCAGCTGGAAGGGATGGTTTATGGTTTAGGAGAGGATCAAACAAATTACTTTCTAGCACAAAGAACATATAAATCTTTGCGGTTTTGACAATATTGGCTGCTGTAAAAGCTGTTAGAAAATTTTGCAATAGCCAATTACCCTGCTTTGCTTCGTTCAAAGCAACCTGATACTATGAGAACAACGTGCTTTTCCTTGCTGGAACAAGACGTGATATCAACACAACAGGAGAATGATGTTGATAGTAATGTTTGACCTTGTGTATCAGGAAATTAGTTAACATTATTTTACTGACAAAAGAGCTTGCAGTTGCACAAAACTTCAGGCATAGTCATTTATATCATGAGCTTTTATGCAGCAGATCAGAACATGGAATAAAGCTGTCTTACAGCCCGCTGTTCAGCTCCACACTACATGCAGGGGGTTAATGAAGCAGCAAGGAGCGTCTGTCTGTTTAAAGAAGATGAGAATTAAGAAGAGGATGTTGTAACAGAACACAACCTAACACAGACTTTGACAAGGATGCCTAAGGCTCTGACTGTTTGCTAGTGATAACTATACTGCTTGAGTGTATTATTTCTGTGGAAGTGGCTGCTTTGAGCATTGTCAGAAATAATGGATTAAAAAATCACTATGGCATATAGAAAACTACTGACTTTAATATTTCTGATTTTATCGAGTCCAACATTAAATGCTATAGAGAACTTTTAGAGGAATTTTTTTTGCCATTCTTTCATAGACATTTCTCCTCTTTCATCCAGTGCTTTGAAAAAATCAGTTGTACTACATTTTTTTCAGAACTGTTAGATTTCTGAACTCTGAGATGATTGAAATTGGAAGAGTGTTTATCCAGATCATGAATAATTTGGTAGATACTTATGGAAGTTGGCTTGACCAATTAGCCATGTAAAACTTCCCCTGAGGTTTTAACATTTCTGCTTCAGACAATAAGGGATGGTGCTTGACATATCTATCACTGGCCTCGAGTGGTTCAAGTTATACTGAAATAAATTATTCATTTGTTAGTGGCAGACTTTTCCTGTCACAGACGAATGATCCTTATGCCCCTCAAGGATCTGCTCCGTCTCCCATGCTGTTCAGTTATGGGTGAGGTGTACTTGCAATGTAGCGTTTAAATACTGGATGTGGTATTATGATTATACTGATGAGGAGGTTGCATCCCTCATATGAATAGATCAAGATCAGTCCCTGGTCATTAAGAGAGGAGAGAGAAAGTGTGCAGGTGCATGACAGATTTATCCCAGCCTACTGAAAACAAATATTTTGCTGGTCGGGAAAGCACATTCTTCATGTGTGTTTGTTGAATGTGCTAACCTGAAAGAATACAATGGGCTCAGAAAAGAATAAAAAAAAAAAAAAAGCATGAGTCTCATGGCAATTAGTAGACAAATGCAAGTACTACGGACTTTCAGCCATCTGGCGTTGATCTGAACCCAAGAGACAACCATGTCTTTGCCATGTCTGAACTGTAGAATGTGTTTCCCTTACACGTTCCCTTACTTCTTTCTCAATTCCTTTCAGTTTGAAGGACTATGGACTCCGTTATGCCTTTACTGTGTACTCCATCTTTGTTACCATCTGTCTCCTCCATCACAGCTGTGTAGTCCTCTATTTTCTTACTGACTAACTTATTTTCTTTTTTGCATTTTAGTCAGGGTTGTTTCTTCTGTCCTGTAACTGGTTTGACATTACCCTGGCATGGAAAAGATTGATACAGGTTGTTTGGGTTTTTTAAATTGAATTCTAAGGAAAATCTTTTGTGTGTGTTGTGGGTTTGGTTTTGGTTTGTGGTTTTTGATTTTATTTTTTTTTAATTTGGATGTGGGTTGTTTTTGGGTTTTTTTCTCTTCACAGAATCACAATAAACCAGAAATAACTGTAAAGCAATTTATAGATTGGATGCGCTTAGAGCCACAGTCTATGGTATGGCTACCAGTTCTACACCGCGTGGCAGCTTCAGAAACAGCAAAACATCAGGCCAAGTGCAACATCTGTAAAGAGTGTCCCATTGTTGGCTTTAGGTAAGTGGAGAGGAGCTGAGTGCAAGGTTTCTCTGCAGATATCCCCACTTTCAAGTCTTCCAACAAGTAAAATAGTTTGGCTTTCTGTTTTCCTGCGTTAAGAAGGGATCCATCACCTCTGGTGAGGCCACACGCGGCTGGAGCCAGTGCATTTCTGCAGTACTGCTGTTAGGCACACAGTGGTCACATGGCTGACAGGCTGTCATTGGGTGTTTTGACATCGGTGGATGCAGGACATAGCAAATGAACTATAAATGCACCCCACGTCTTGTGTAAGCACGAGGCCAGAAGGAGCTGATCAGTAAGAAAGAATGTAGGCAAGCTGTCTGTCTGCTTTCCTGCATAGGGCTTGGGAACTCTCATGCCAGCCCATGTAGAACACCCTCCAGCAGCAATCTTTCCTGGCTTAAGCATAACCATTGATATGTGACTGTGATAAGACTTGCACTGTTCCTGTCTAAAGCGTCTAACTTTCGTCTGTTCAAAGGTGGCTGTGAATTCTAAAAGAAAAAATGATCCAAGGATATGATCTATGTTACCTAAACTGTATGATTTTACTATGAATGCATTTGTGTGTTGATTACTCCAGTGAATAAATTGATGGGGGACGGGGCGTGTAAGAAAAAAACCCCACCCATAGGGGACTAGAGCTAAACATATCTGACTTTTTCCTCTGTTGTGCTGATAAAGACAAGTGTGTTGTTTAGGAACAATATAAAGCAGACTTTCTTCTAATTGATTCTAAGACTTTAGGTGGCTAGGCAAATGAGTAATTTTTGTTCCCTATGGTTTCTGTTTCTCCTTCCTTCTGTTTTAAAGGATAGTAATAGGAACCCTGAGGTCAGATTCATCTCGCCTACCTTTAGGCATGCTGGCTTTTGTCAGTCTTTGAGACTGTGAGCTAGCAGCCCTCTTCTTTTGCTATAGAAATGTGAACACTTCCGAAGTAATTAATCTGATCAAGCCTTGTTGCTTGTCTTAAGAGGCGTATAAATTCTTCTAAATGTTTCTAATTTTCTTAGTTAACACTTGAGGGAGCGTAGGATGAAAAGCTCCTGCTCAGATACCTTGTAGACACCTAAGTTGAGACTGGTGAGTTGTCTGTACTGACGTATCTTGTGGGAAGAAGGAAAGCATAGAGAGAAAAAAGAAGAGAAAGGAAAACAATGAATGACACATTCTAAATAATTTCTACAATGAAGTTAAGAGATCTGCAGCAACAAAAGGATCTAACATCTTAGCAGAAGGTAGATGTGGCCATTTAATACACTGGCTCTGAGTAAAGCTTATAAACAATTGCATCAGCATCCTTAAAAGTGAAACTCTACATTTATAGACACATGTTGTCTTGCCAAACAAAACATAAAACTCAGCAGGGGAAAAATGTGGATTAGCACTGAAAACTGCTCTTAGGAAGCAATTTAATTTAAACTTTAACTATTCAGTAGCTATTCAATTTGGTTCAGTTAGCTCATTTTCATTTCATACATATGATATAACCTCATCCAGTCAGAACAACCATACCATAAAAAACAGTGGGTGGAATCTGGAATTGAATTGTTGCTTGAGTCAGCTTCAGTAAATTGTGCTCCTGGTGGCTGCATTTAATACAAGGGACACTGTATAAGTTTGTTACCTTGTTTCTACATATACATGCATTTTCTTAAAAAAAGTAAATAAATCGATGCAATTTTTAAGCTTAATTATGTATTATTTTTATAATTCATGAATTCTCAAGAGTTTTATTTTCAGAAACATATTTAGATTTTCTGAGCATCAAAATAATGTAAAGGCATTTAATCTAACTGGTAAATGTAAAAACATAAAAGTAAACCAGTCTGGTTTATAAATTTTTTTTCTGAGATACCATCTGAATACTAAACAGAGGAAAAGAAAAACTAAAGCAATATAGTTTGAAGTCAGTTTGAACTCTTCACACTCCATCTATGAAGCTGTTGCCTGTAACGTTTTCTGCTTCAGAGCAGCTTGGGCAACAGGTGATTGACACTGGCTCGCGATATGGCTATGGGAGTCAGGACTTTCTCAGTGAGGTGTGACCTGTGTCGTGTAGAAAGGCTATGTGACGTGGGCTGGGAGGGCTGCAGGTTTCCTGTGTCCCGGGCAGCTGCTGCGGCAGCACACATGCCCCAGGGGCTGCAGCTCTGATGAGTGTTGGCCATGCCATGGCCTGGTTGTGCCCACCCATGCACTTCAGTGATGCTTTCAAATCTGATCCCAACTAACTTGCCATGTCCTTGTGCTGCTTCTGCTGCAAAGCAGGTGACACCGTTTCAGAGAATAATTTGCCTCGTTAGGCTTAATAACAACTAAATATTAGAACTAAACCTAGGAAGCTCTAACTGCTTTGTTTAATGTCCCCATAGGTACCGGAGCTTAAAACATTTCAACTATGACGTCTGTCAGAGCTGTTTCTTTTCTGGCCGTACAGCAAAGGGACACAAATTGCATTACCCAATGGTGGAGTACTGTATACCTGTGAGTACCAATTTACTGACTGTTCCCAAGGGATTGGTTTTGCATTATTTGAGGTCTAAATTTTTTTCATAGCATTTTGTCACCTAGACATTCTGCCAGATTTTCTTCTTCATGTGTTTAGTAGGGCCTGTTTTCCCACCTCTCTCTTTGGAATTCATCAGGGCCTTTGCTAGTGCTGTTGATTTGATGTGGGTGGTGTTTGGATTCTGTAGAAATGGGTGGAAGTAACCACCTCTGAACATGAACTTCACTTTTGTTTTTTAAAAACAAAGCTGGACCATAAAATATAATTGCAGTCTTTGTATACTTGCACATGCACACGCACTGTAAGGGTGAGAACGTGTCAGAGGAAAGGGGCTCATTTCACTATTGCTGTACCACAGTAAAGAATATTTAATATTGTAGTCATACACTTTAATATTTTTAAAGGTGCTTGATCTTTGCTTTGAGGTCCAACGGTTTGCTTGCTTCATGAAAGCGTGGTTGGAAATATGTCATGTTTTATTCCCCTGAGTAATTGCTGTTTACTGGGATATTTAAAAATTGGTGTGTAGGTGGAAAAAAAATAAACAGAATTGACAGTCTCTAACCAAAAATGGTGTCAGAGGTTTGCCTGCAATAGCTAAGAAAAATTGATGTTACAACACAGTATTTCCCTAATGAAATTTCAAACATGATTTTTCTAAGGAACTTTCTAGTAGACTTTCTTAGGTGGAGGACTGAGTAACTTCCTTTACACAAGTGCCACTTTGACTTTTTTTATCTATTAGTTGTCTGCATTCTTAAGAATTTTAACTCTGTAACAGACAATTTAATAGGATAATTGATATGTGATTTATACAACAGTAGTGAAACATCTGTACGCTCAGAAAAACAAATTCAGACCAGAATGTCTGAATTAGACAGCTGATTTCTAATAGTGCTACAAGGTTCTGAGTGTTCTTTTATTAGTAAACAATCATTGAGTTATCTGCATGTCTTTTGCTGTAGTAGTTGGACTCATTACATGTTCTAAATCTCAGGATCTGGAGGTCTACAAGGTTTTCTTTCCTTTATTACACATCATTAAAAATAGGGTGATAACTGATTGTTTACTTTCCTCCTTAGCCAACTTAACCCAAACAATCTGAACATGTTTGAGGTGTATTTTTTTCTCAGATTCACTTCCCACACCCACACCCCCACACCCCCACACCCCAAATAAAGATCCCTTAAACCTCTTTTTTAGTTTATATCATGGGCGTGGAACAGAAATGTTCTTTGTTAATGTCTATAATATACAGAAAAATCAGAAATTAAGATGAGAGGTGTGTCGAAATTGATGATGCTGTCAGTCCACAGAACAAGATACCCTTCCTGTTGCATTAATCAAATACAGATTACACCTGATATGGGCTATGGTATTGCCCCTAGAATAGGATGGTACATTGTTGATGACTTGATATTTGATATTTGAGAGAAATTTTCAGTTCTTGTTAAACATCTTGACATCATGTAATTGTGACCCATTTAATTTACAAGTAAAGACTGTTTCACAGAAAAATATATTCTGGAAATTGCTATAATCCCCACTGTCACTGGGACTAGGGACAGCTTGTATTATAATAAAGCTTTCTGTTATTACTGCAAAAAGAATATCCTTTTAAAGCAATATTGAGTGGAAAATAATGTAACCTAAGGCAAAAGTCCCTTCTTTCCATGAAATATGGGAAGTGAATTTCCTATGGGATAATAAGGGGCATAAGATGACACTCTTGATTAGAGTGAAGGAAGGCGAGTGTATAGGAGGTAAAGGAATCAAATTGTGGCAGTTTAAAGTAGAGCAGAATAAAAGAGTTGACATATAATTTAGATGATGAGCAAAATTAGAGGTCCAGCACTGACCCCCATTAATTTGGAAGCTGAATATGGGAGTTGGAATTTTTCTGCTGTAAGTACACTCTTCTTAACTCCATTTCTTTGAAAAGAAATGACCTGTTGTATGAACAGACTTCTTATATGCCTTTGACTCCATAATCAGTACCTACATGCAATCCCTTTTTACTAATCTCATCTGAATCAGGTCAGGAATAAGGAATTGCTTTCACAAAAGGAATCCAGTGTTATTATTACTATTTGTAATAATGCACTATGGTTGGTGTACTAATTTGTTGCTAAACCTCTTTACACATTGAACTTATTTAATGCAATATAATAGTTAAGAATTACAAAATTCTGTGCAGTAAGTTAGTAGAATAGCTTATGTGTAAATGGAATAATGCCTGAAAAATAACGTAGATCTGGGTCTGTGAAATTAAAAAAAAAATTTAAAAAAGAAAGTGTCAAAGGCCAATGAATTGTTCCTTAGAATCCATTATATATTACAGTGCATTAGCCTGAATTGGAAGAGTGCATCTACTCTATCTTTTCAACCAAATTCAAAGGCTGTTAAAATATTACTTTTGTGGTGTGTGTTGCAACACAGAGTACAAATGCATGTACTCATCAAACTGCCTTAATAAAATCTATCTTCTCTCTCTTGCTGTTAATGTGTATTAATACATTAATATCAAGAATTCTAGCAATAGTTATAAAAAAAAATGCTTCCCAAGTTAATAAAGCTGACATTTGACTGGACCTTACTTACAGATGGAGCGGAAGACCTTTTAATTGTCTTTGTGTAAGCTCTAGGGTTTGAAGGGATTTCTCAGGAGCTCAGTCACTTCTACTTATATGTGAAATAATTTGGAGAATGGCTTAAGGAATCTGGTTTTTTGCAATGTGAGATTCATGTGAGAATTGTTTCATAATTTCAGAACAGGGCTGTTTATACTAGTGTAGTCACTGAATCCTATTCTATAATGCCATTTAGTATTCACCCTATCTTGCAATTTAGTTTTCTTGATGCTGGAAATGAAAGAAATCATAATAGCTTTCATTATGTCTTTTTTCTTTCATTCAGGATTTAGAGGTGGGTGAGGTAAGGAACTGAAAACACTACTGTCTCTTAGTAGAAATGCAAAGCTATTGTAGTTACTTTTTCTTTCAACTTTAAATAGTCTTTCTCTGGAAATATGGAGAAATAAGAATTTTAAAGTAGAACTTTACACAGAGATGTGTAAAACTTTTGTAAGATTTTCCTAGCATCTAATTCAGGAATACTCTTAAGCAAGTATCTACATGATTTATTTTTAGCTTTTTTGGGATGGAAATTGTCTCAGTAGTGGTACTTGTGTTACATTAATGTTGCTTTCTATACCAACGGGTGCTTAGATTTTCTGATGGAAATAATTACTGCATCAGTTTTCTTTCTGCAAACTGTTTCCACTTTGCAACTCTTATGTTCCACAATAAAACTTTAAAAGCAGTTTTCTGAGGTACAAATATCAAATCAGCAGTTCTGAAAATTTTCTCGTTGCAAGTAATGTTACTTTCTGACCTCAGTGAAAGTGTAATCAATTTTTGCAGTTTTGTGCCACTACACTCATCCTTATTTTGGGGACTTTTTTTTTTTTTTTTGGCAGGCTTTCTATACAAAACAATGGCAGCAAAGGTTAGTCCCTTCATCTTCCAGGTGACCAGATTTTTATTTCCCTGAAAGAGCTCAGACGTCTGAAAATATTAGTTGAACGATAGTTCACCCTAGACTGAAATTTTTTCCAGGCACAATAAAGCTTATCTGCAATAGAGCCTGCTAAGACTCCTCCTCTAGGTACGTTGTCTGAAAATTTAATTACGACTGACATCCAGAGAAGACAGATACATTCCTGAACATTATGCAGCCTCAGTGTTTTAGAAGTAACAACTGGCATGAGTAAGTCACTGGCCTCATCTTAACATGCTTATCAGTGCACCAGGCATGACACTTCACTGTTATCAAAATGGGATTGTTCTGTGGGGAAGATGAAAGAAAGCAGCAAGAATGGTTGAATCTGGCTATTTCGCATGCAGAACATCACTCCCAGCTGTGGAGTTCAGAGACAGATTACTCTGTGCCTTGAGAAGAATCGCTATCTGGTCGGAGTAGGCTTTGATATCTAGCAGCTGGGCAATGTGCTTTCCTCTAAGTCTCACTCTTACAGTGGCTCAGGTAGCTGGCTTATGTCATCTGCTACCCTTTTGCAATTTAATTTATTAAATTCTGTTAAATAAAAGGGTAAGTTAGGTACTCTTGAAATTGCAGCTTGGTTTCATTGGAGTAAAGTAATCCACACAATTTATAATCAATCTCTCAGTGAGAAACTGCTGTGATATGCCCCTATTTGAAAGTGGTCACAGAAGGGTAATTGCCACAATGGTACAGACTGCAAACATCACTGGTGTGGCAGTGACAGCCATAAATACAGTTGATGTACCTTTAATGACCAAATATTTTGTTTTTAAACTACAAAATTTAAAGCTTACTAAAGCATCTGAAGAGTATCAAAAGGTATCAAATGCAAGTATCTCTACTAGGGCTTCTGTTAAAGAGTAAACTAGAGTCCTTTTAGATGATACAGGTGTTCTTCTGTACTGTAAACTTTGCATCACTGAGCATGTCTTACTATACAAAATATATTTTCTTGCAACTTGCTGAATTATTCTGTGTATTGCATGCGTACGTTTCTCTCTAGTTTCCTCATAACCCATGAATGCCTGGCTGGGGTTAATGACAGTGTGCATCAGTGAGGTTCACATATCTTCTGAGAATCAGTTTCTATGTGTATATTAGGAAAGTTCTTTTGTTTCATGTTAGGCAGTATAAGAAGTGTAATTAAGAGAATGATAACTTAGGTGCAGACTAGTTCTTTTACATGGATAGGTAAGTGCAGTGAAAGAAATGGGAAGTTATTTGGGCTTTTGTTATCACTTTAGTTTTTATTTGAAAAAAAAGAATAGTGAGAAATAAGTATAAATAAATATATGTAAGTATTAAATGTATTAGATAATATTTGTCCACGTTTTTATATCATGTATTATTTAAGGTAGACCTCTCTAACAGAATCAGCTTATTCTCTTTTATTCACTGCTTTCCATGTAAATCCCATTTTTTTAATTTGTGTTCGCTTACAAGGAAATTTATCTAATTTTATTTTGTGACTGATGTCTCCATTTGTATCTGGCTGGTATACTGAAGAGTGCTAATGCTAGTTTGTCAGTTTTTACAGATTTTTAACATGAGACCTTCCACTACAGATTTTTTTTTTTTTTTAACTTTTTTATGTGTGCCAGCCATGGATCTTAGTCATTCCTTACTGAACTTTGTCTTGTTTTAAGAACTGAGATCTTAAATTGAGTTTGAAAGCTTGGACTTTTAGCTGAAATTTTCAGTGAAGGAAAGGGTTTTTTTCTTTGCTTTTGAAGTAGTTCTGTGAGTTATTTGACTTGTTATTTGACAAGTTATTTGACTTGTGTAGAAATAGTTAGGGTGTCATGATGTAAGGAAGTGTACGAGCTACCTGTTGGTTTTAATTTAATAGGTAGGTTCTACACAACAGTGCCTGGATATGCTTCTTCAAAAGCAAAATCTTAAAGTACGTCATGATTTTGGATTGGATTAGGTAGTGTTGCTATATGCAAGAAACATAGAAGAAACACTTCTAAGAGTTGCGTCTTAGTTGTGTGTAAATTAAAATAGTTCTAAATCTGCTCGAATTTCACAGTTAGTATTTACTGTCCTTAGCCTGTACACAGTCCTATTAGGCTTTCCAAGGAAAGCACACTGGGTCAGGCTGTCACACCAAATAAAGAATACACCAGAGGCAAAATTTGGCAGCTCAGTAGACGTTTATTTCTGCAGTGTGTAGGTACTAAAACTTTCATTCCTTGGCCTTGGGACAGAGTTCCATCTGCCAGAGCTAGCGCTGCGTGAGAACAAGCAGCCCTTTGGGCTGCCTCGCATTCCTTGTTTGGATGATTCAGTGATTGGAGCAGCTCCTTTCCGAGAATGATTTTTGAAAGCTCTCCCTAAATTTAGCTGTATTAAAATTCAGGGGTTCAAACACCTCTTAATCCCAAATTTGCTCAGTTCATTGTTAGTTGCTAAAGCCAGACGTGAGAAACTCTTACCAACATCAGTTTGATTATCTACAATTTTTATAGCTCGTCTGATCTGCATTACAGAATTTGTATATATTTTACATTCACTGAAGTACATATGTGAATAGTGAAGTATTTTTATGCTTTGACAATAAAGAATAAAATGAGAAGACAGTTGCCTGACCTGCTTCTAGGCCTCCCAGTAGTACTTAATGGAAAAAAATTTTCAAAACTGAAAAGGCTTTCACTCTGGATATCCTATGGATATCCATCCGCTTTGTCAGCCCAGAGGATACAGAAGTACAATCCGTAGTTTATTACAGGGTTTGGACTGGAAATCTGTAGGAGCCATTGCAAAACATCAGCTGACGCAGGAGGTGAACGGCCGTGGCAGTTGCAAGAGGAAGTGATGAAAGTGAAATGCTAAGTCTGGTGGGGACTGTTGTGTTGGAGTACTGGGTACAGTCTGTAAGCACATACACCTTAAAGGCGTACCAAATACTATTGTTTCTTCCTGCAGATCTCTTTATTGCCATTTTCACCCTCTGTTTTTTGCCTGCATGTTTTGCTTGTATCGCTGCTTTTGTAGCAGATGTTAACTGAACAGTATTACCAAAGTAGTGCTGCCGTTATTGCTGGGACTATTTCCAGTTAAATTGATTTTTAAAAGCAGTTTTATAAATTCTAATTCTGTTCTAAAGAACACGGTTAATTTCATGTGGGTGTGGGAATACCCTCCAGTTTTGGAGGAGGCCGCATCAATGGGGACCAGTAAAAGAGCTGCTGGCGGGGGAGTGGGATTGTAACTTGTAAATTTAGACTTGCAGAATCTTGTGGCTAATTTTTGCACTAGTCCTCTCCTGTGTAGTAATGAGGTGACTGAATCAGTGAGGTAGTTATTTCAGGCGCTGACTGTTCTTATCTGGCCTTCCTCTGACTGTGCCTTTGAACAGTGCCTGTACACTGACTGTCACTTCATCTGTGGGGTTTTTTTGATTCTGGCATGATACAGATAGTGGCACAGATCTGGAGGAAGAGATCTGCTGACTTGAGACAATGCTTGAGGAAAGCTTGGCCATTGCAGCAGAAAAAATGGTGTTGTTCACATATTGCTCCCATCTCATGATAAACTTTCCAGTTAAGGTATAGAATGGGAGTCAGTGAGTGTTTTGTGGCACTTTGTGAATATAAAGGGCTGTGTTAGCTTTTTTTTTTTTTTTTTAAACAAAGACATTATTGTTAGAGCTGTTAGAAGGTTTTTCTGTCTGTGGGGCAAGTCCCAAGCTTCATGTGTGTGACTATAGCATCGAGATTGCTTTCAATGGTTCAGAGTGTCCCCTTATAGCTGCCAAACTGCTTTGCCTATTTTCATTTTTTTTTTCTGCTATGTAAGACTCATTATAAATGCTTAACAACAGAACCTGACTCAGTTTTTCTCTAATTAATAAAGTAATTGGTAAATCCAGTGCATTTATTTCTGGGAATTTGAAGCTTCACTGTTTTTTCCCAAAAGAAGAGAATTTGTAGATGAATTATTGTAATCATTGCACCATATTTTGTGACATTAAAAAGGCAATTTTTACATAATTAACACTTTGAACTTCTTACTTGTATCCTTTTTCAGGACAGTAACAACACTATTATCTCAATGCTATTTAGCAATGTTCAATTTGATTTCTTTTAACTTTTTAAGACAACATCTGGGGAAGATGTACGGGACTTCACGAAAGTGTTGAAGAATAAGTTCCGGTCAAAGAAGTATTTTGCAAAGCATCCCCGACTTGGCTACCTACCTGTGCAGACAGTATTGGAGGGTGACAACCTGGAGACGTAAGCTTGATTATAGAGTAATTGTTCCTGAGGTCATTAGCCTGTTCCATTAAAAACAAAAAAATGTAACCCAAGAAATAATCAACGGCAGTTGTAGAGCCTTGTGCTCGACTATTTTCTGTGAACTGTTTTACATTAGTTGCAGATCTTGCTTGTTTTTGAAAAAGTAACAGATTTTATACTTTGGGTTTTTTAAGTAGTTTATCATTAAGCCATGGACTTTAGCAGGTAATACTGGAGGGGGCTGATGGGCTGTTTTACATAAAACACTTGTATCGTTCTGGGGATACTGGGCTTTTGGAGCTGCACTGCTTATTTGGTTATGGCAGGGTCCCTGGAATTAGAAATCTCTGAGCTAATCAGGTTCCCGCAGATTTCAGAAATATAGGTGACCTAAGAAAAAGAGAGCACTCTCAGTGTCTCCACAGTATTACTTACGGTGCTGGTAGAAATACTCCACTTTATTTACTTAATTGGTGGTTGTCAGCAAAGGACACTCTTAAAAGAGCAAAATTAAGATGTGTTGACAGTGTGCTAGAAGTAGTTTCATGGATTGACTCTCCTTGACATCCTGAAGTTTGCGGTACTGCTCTATCATCTGAACACAGCAAAGCTTACCCAGAAAGAGGGAATGTGAAGCTTCAGCACACATCCTCTGCTTGCACGCAACAGCCCAGTGCTGTTGTCCATGCTTTGCTTTCATGACCAGAGGACTTATTTACAATAAGCAAACAAACCCTCTCACTAGCGGTTTAAGGAACAGGAAGAAGTAATCTGAAAACTGGCATTATTGATGGTCTGGCTTCTAAGGAAGCAATGCACATTCAAATGTTTAAATGTTACTCACCAGGGCAATCTTCAGCTGCCACCAGCACAGGAAAGCAAAGCTGCTTTGATGTGATGAAAGTCTGTCAGTAGTGCCAGAAATTGGATGTCAAAACTGTAATCATAGGTCAGGATAAAACTCTTTTGGTCCAGTCATGTGGGAAACGTACAGATAAATTGCCAGCATCATGCTGAGGAAACTGTTGGTATTGGGTCTCTCCCCTGCAGGTGGAAAAAAATCAGTAACACACTCTTTTAAATAACAAAAATACTTTAAAAAATCCTGAGTAGTTATTCAACTGTCAGAATGTAACAATATGTATTTACCTTCCATTTTTTTTATACAGTAGGAAAATAAGCATTGATAACTCTGACTTACGATGTTTTTTGACGTCACTGGTGTTTTGTCCCCCTGTTTTTTTCTGTAAATGTGTTTTCTAGTTAGTTTAAAAGGAAAGCTCCAGTACTTGAGCAGAATTTAAATGAACTGATTATAGTTTATGAACTGCAGTTCAGTCAATAATACTGTGGGGTTTTTTTTTAATTTATTTTTATTTAAGAAAATGAAGTATGTAAGTCAGTCTCACCATAATACACGGCAGTGTCTGTTGCTGTCTCTTTTTTTACATCAATTGTTGCTGATTCAAATAATCTAGGCCAGTTGCTGGTTAAAAGATTTGTGTTTCTCCAGCTTTTCCTTGCTTAAATGGCACCAAAGTTTTTGTTTCATTTTTTCTTTCTTTCTTTTTTTTTAATCTTCCTTACAGTCCTATCACTCTCATCAGTATGTGGCCAGAGCAATATGAGTGAGTATGCAGAACCCCTCTTTCTCTAAAGCTTAGTATACTGGTGGTTTTCTTTTAGCTCAATTGCTGCTAATCTGATGTGCATGAGCTACAGGGCATGGCTGACCCAAAGCATTAACCCTCTAGGCAATACTGTGAATTTTTATTTGTCATTAGTTTAACTTACTTCAAAAATGATGTTATTTATGTCACAAATTGTCTTACACATCGCTAATTTTATTTTTTTTTTAAACTAGTCCTTCCCAGTCTCCACAGCTGTTTCATGATGACACACACTCCAGGATAGAGCAGTATGCTACTAGGTAAGAGATGGAGTTTCTCACCAGTACACTGCATTTTCTGATCTGATTCATGCAGATTTTAATACACTCTACTGGCTGGACATTATTTATTAAAAAGATATAATTCTCTGTACTCAGAAGTTAGTCAGATGTTTTTAAATCATCAGCTTCTGAATACAGCCATATTAAATGTAAAGTAGATGCATTAAATCTGCCATCTGTCATGCAGAATGGAAACTGCTGCAGAATTACTCTGCATTATTTCTAAAATGTGCTGTTTTCCTTTAGTTTCTTCATTTTTAACTTTTGGATACAATATAAACTTGTTGGATATATAATTTTTCCCTGTAAGATTTTAGATCCAGGTTTTGATTTTCATCTATGATAGGTTGACACTATCCATTACCATTGGCTTTTAGCAGAGAATATAATAATTAGAACAGAAAACATTTCTGGCTTTTATGGGGTCACCCTAGTCCTTTCATGATAAAAGGTCTGTTCTGCCAAGTCCATCTCAGTGTTTCTGTCTTTTGTTGAACTCTTTTCTGTACAGTCAGAGCTGGTGACAATTAGGCACTAACCAGAGGTAGCTACCCTCTCAAAACCAAGTAACACCACTCAGCTTTTAAGCAACAAATAAATTGATCGATATTAACATGGGAACTGACCTGGATTTGTTTTTTGTGGTTTTATTGTTGTATCTCATCTCCACAACTAATGATGAACGTTAACTTTTTCAGCTTTTTGAATAAAAATTCAGAGCTTATGTTTAAGATAACTGAATTTTTACTTATGGACACCATAAGAAAGCCTCAAAACAGTTTGTTAAATACCTAGAATACCCAAGAGATGATCTTGGGTCCCGCACCTAGGTTGGGGCAATCCCAAG